GCCGTTGCCGAAGACAGCACGGAGAAATGTTGCAAAACGGGAGTTGCTGGGTCGGTGCCCGCTGTGTGGGTTTTTGATGCACGTTGGGTTCGTTGATTCCTTCTTCCTCTTCTCCCTCCTCTCCCTCGTCCCCTCCTTCCTCGTTTCCTTCTTGCGTTGAAAAATTAGAACGCGTGGTTTGTGTCTCTGTTCGTCAGGCTATGGTACGCTGCGAGTATTTGTCTGCAGCATGTGTTGTTGAGTTTTCAGGCGACAGGCTTTCTGTCGTGTGTAGTGGATGCCTCGAGCGACTTGCGCAGTGCGTAGGATTATCATGGTGAGAAGAAATATGATGATACTGGTGGTGGTGATGAGGAGGAGGAGGAGGAGGAGGAGGGTCGAGGTGGGCTTGCGAGAGAGTTTACTGAGGATGCCTGAGGAGACTCGGATGTTTATGGAGCGTTTATCGTTGAAGTCCTCAGGCGGAATGCTTATTGTTTTTCGTCGTGGCTGCCTCGAGCGATTCGCGCAGCTCGTAGAATAAGTGTGGTCAGAAAACGTAGGAGGAGGAGGAGGGGGAAGAGGAGGAGGAGGAAGAGGAGGAGGAGGAGGAGGATGACGAGGGGGAGGAGGAGGAGAAGGAGGAGGAGGAGGAGGAGGAGGAGGAGGAGGAGGAGGAGGAGGGAACCTCTCGACGGCTTTGTGTAGATGCTTCTCTGGGAGGCATCTTTAATGTCTCTTGAGAATCCTCTCGGGGGCGCCTAGGAGGTACTTCTGGTGGCCTCCTGCGGTTTCTTGGGGGCCTCTCGGGGGCTTCGTCGGGTCTCTTGGAACCGCTTGGGGGCCTTTGTGGGCCTCGCGGGGCCTCTTGGGAACCTCTGTGGACCTCTCGGGGGCCGCCGGGGGGCCCTTGGGGGCTTCTTCGGGTCCTCTTGGGGGCATCCTGATGGTTTCGAGGGGCCTCTTAGGGGCTCCTTGAAACCCTGGTGGCGCTTCTTGGGGCACCTTAGGGGCCTCTTGGGTTATCCTCTCTTGGGGACCTCCTGGGCCGTCTTAGGTTGATGGACGAAGCATGGAGAAATGTTGAACATGTACGTTTTCCAAAACGAATGAAGGGATCGTGGGCCGTCTCCAGGCCATCTGGAGCCTTCTTGGATGGATCTTGGACCGTCTTCGGGTCGTCCTGCATCTCGCTGAGGCTGTCTTGGGGGCATCGTGGGCCGTCTTGGAGGCTTCTGGGGCCATCTTGAGCGCTCGTGGAGCGTTCTGGAGTGCCTGGAAGGCCGCACCCGGGAGCAACACCATCTCTGTTCCGAGTCCGCCGAGTATTGTACGATGATGATGATTATACGAATGATGGTTTAAGTGACGACGATGATGATGCTGATGCTGATGCTGGTGATGGTGATGGTGAAGCAAATTCTGGTGATGGTGATGATGGCGACCATCATCATTATGAAAACGATGGCGATACTGATGATGATGATAGTGATGATGATGATGTCGATGCTGATGGTTATGATGTTTCTGCTGATGATGATGGTGATGCTGATGACGTTGGTGATGATGCTGTTGCTGATGATGCTGGTGATGATCATGATGCGGATGATGAGTATGGTGGTGATGCTAATTATGGCATTGCTGATGTTCATGGTGATGCTGATGGTGATGATGATGATGATGATGATGATGATGATGTTGGTGTTGATGATGATGATGCTTGCGGTGCTGATGATGCCAATGGTGACGATAGCGATTGCGCTGACGATGACGATAGTTATGAGGGTGATGCTGATGATGATGATGCTGATGATGATGATGCTGATGTCGATGATGATGCTGATGATGCTGACGACGCTGCTGATGAAGATGATGAAGGTGAGGATGATGATGAGACTGATGATGATGATGTTGGGGATGCTGATGATGACGATTTTGATGGTGTTGATGATGATGGTGGTGTTAGTGGCTGCGGCGATGGTGCTGGTGATGATGATGGTGATGCTGGTGATGGTGATGGTGATGTTGGGGATGATGGTGCTGCTGTTGCTGATGATGCTGATGATGATGCTGCTGATGATGATACTGATGATGATGCTGCTGATGATGATTATGGCGATGGTTCTGGTGCTGCTGCTGATGTTGGTGATGATGATGCTGAGTATGTTGATGCTGATGATGCTGATGCTGATGCTGATGATGATGATGTTGATGAATATGGTGGTGGTGCTGCTGCTGATGATGATGGTGATGGTGATGGTAATGGTAATGACGATGATGATGATGATGATGATGCTGATGATGATGCTGATGATGATGATGATGATGCTGATGATGATGATGATGTTGATGACGATGGTGGTGATGGTGATGGTGGCCAATAATATGAGAATGACGATGGTGATGATGATGACGAGGAGGGCGCGGAGGAGGAGGATGAGGAGGAGGATGGTGAGGATGAAGCTGGGCACGGTGCTGAAGAGGAGGAGGGCAACGAGGAGGAGGATGAGGCGGAGGAGGAGGAGGAGCGACAGGAGGAGGAGGAGGAGGAGGAGGAGGAAAACGAAGAAGAAGGTCGCATGGGAGACCTTGTGGCTGCATCTCTTGAAGAGCGCAAGCGAAAATGTGAAATTCGTGCAACATCCCTCGGGGCACCAATGATTTTGGCTTCTTCGGACCCTGCTTGGGGTCCTCTTGTTGCACTTTGGGCCCTCTTGGGGGCCCCTTTTGGCCGTCTTGAAGGCATGCAAATGCGGGGGGTGCGCGATCCTCGAGCGGGTGCGCGTGGGATGAGAGATCCAGAAGTTAGCAGCCACGCGAGAAAAGCATACTCGTCGCGCGGGCGCGCATGTAATGAGGGTTCAAAAATTAGCTGCCATGCGTGCACCGCCCTCGGGCGGGCACGCGTTGAATGGCGGTTTGGGCGCTAGGTGCCATCCTGAAAGTGCTCCATCCTCGAGCGGGCACGCGGGAAGTGGCCTCGGGAAAGGGGGGGAATGCTTACGGCTGCCTGCTAGTAGAGGGAGGGGCGGTCCCTTGGCATTCTTCCACGCCTCAACGTGCCAGGTCTCAAAGCAACTGCGATCAACCTCGTTCACTTTGGGGGAGCGCCCCCCCCCGCCCCCATAACATGTTTTTTGTACGCCACGCGTCAGCGGGGCCCTTGGGTCATCCACCTTTTTATTTTATCCAGGAGAGTGGATGGAACCTGGCTTCGGGCGTTGATCTCGAGACGTCCTCCGGATTTGTCTGGTTTGGCCCCTGGTTTGGCATTGCATGGCCTGGTTTGGTCTGGTGTGGCCTAGCGCCCCACGTGATACATCCTCAAATTAGCTTTGTTTGGCACCTGGTTGAGCCTGGTTTGGGGCTGGTTTCAATTGAGCCGTCCTTGCAATTTGCTTTGTTTGGTTCGGTGTCGGCGCGGTTTTGCTCGAGACGTCATCACATTTTGCCTGGTTTGGCATGGTTTGGGCACGGTTTCGCTTGAGACGTCCTGACACGTTGCCGGGTTTGGCTGTGTTCCAGCGCGGTTTCGCGTGAGATTTGGATGGCTCTGGGAGCCTCTTGGGGGCCGCTTGGGGGCCTCTTGAGGGCCTTTTGGAGGCCTCTCGGGGCGTCTTGGGCGCCTCTGGTGGCTTCTTGTGAGCCTCTTGGCGGTCCCGCCTGGGGGTATACGGGCACGAGGAAGCTCGTGTGGTCATCTCGAGTTCCCCTCCTCCGTGGCCGAGAAGATCGGCAAACACTCAATGGCCGAAAGCATTGCAATACATATGGTTTGTCTTACGATTTTCGATGTTGGTGAAATCTACGTGTGGCGACCCAAAGACCATACAACGACCCCACCGAGTCTTGCGGGGAGCCCCAACAAATCCCTCTGGGGCTTTTCGGCCCGTGAGGAGCATTTGCAACACGCAATGCAGAGAGTTCGACAGGACCTGCTGTGGCGATACTTCGACATCGTGTCACTCCACCGCGTATCACACAATGCCGTAGCATACTATACATAATACGCTGTTGTGGGATGCACTATATCTCGGCACACGCCATTTTTCTCTTGACCTTGTCCACTGCTCGCACCTCACCTGGCGTCCCTCTTCCCTCACCTGTTGTCTTCTGTTGGTTTGATGTGCGTGGATGTGTTGCAACCCCTTTTGCTTTGAGGGGCTATGCTCCGAATTTGCGTCGTGCAGGGTGCATGTCTGTTCTTAGGCGTGCGCGGATGAGCTGCTCGTGGACACGCGTGCCAGCACTTCATCACGCATCCTCAATCGTCGCGTACCATTGCGCTGGAGAGTAGGTTTTAATCAATGGAATCGCTCCTAGCCGCCGGATGAAACCAAGAGGACCTGGGTAACCTGAATGTTGCGAGCGGCTAGTGCCGTTGTGGCGCGCCTAGATTTTCACGCGCTGCAATCGAGGAACAAGTCTTGACATCACTTCACGGATGCGCAGTCAAGTTCTTTCTTGTGGAACTAGGGGGAGCGTCTGGCAGTATACGCTGGTGGACGCTGGCGCAAGTCTCATCCGTCGACAATTCAGCTGATCTACAAACCCGACAGGGCTCGCGATTTGCAGCTCCAAGCAAACTTGCTCAGGGAACGCGATTATCCACAATTCCTCTTTCTAAGTCCTCGCCCCTCCTCCCTTCATCATTCATTATTCTTCCTGCCCCTTCCGTCGCATCCTCCCAACTTGTTCGTTCTTCAAGCAGGTGCTGACGCCGTCGTCCACCCCAAGACTGGAGTACCGGGCGATTCGCAGCTTGGCCACGGACAGGGCAGAACAGGACGTCCGAAAAAGTAGGAGACAGTTGGGCCTGGGCGTTCCGTCATGGAGGGGCGATAGGAGGAGGATCGAATGTTGCAAGAGCGGAGGGCCCGAAGGTGCACAAGATGGAGGATTTCTCCGAAGTGCTTAGGCGACCCGTCCTTCTCCTCTCTCCTCCTCCTCCTCCTCCTCCTCCTCCTCCTCCTCCTCCTCCTCCTCCTCCTCCGCCGCCTCCTCCTCCTCCTCCCCCTCCGAGCCGCCGCGCGCTCAAGGGAGCGGTGGCAGCGCGCGATTCGCAGCGGCGCAGCGCTGCCGAGCCATGGTGGACTGATGTCCTCTCAGCGCTGCCAGCTTTTCGTGCACAGCGCCATTCTCTCGCACAACTTGGGTGAGAAACTCAAGGACTTCGTGCAGGGCTTTGTTGCTGGCCCAGACTCGTCGGTCTCCGAATTCGTGGGCTACGGCGAGGATGTCGTCGACTGACTGGTGAGGATTCAAGGAGGACACCTTCGGGGAGGGGCGGATCCAGTACCTAGTCAAGGACATGAAGGCGGAGGTCCTGGGCAGGCAACCTGGGACCCTGTGGTGGCTGGTGTGGCGCCACAGGAGGCCCAAAACGCCAGTCCAGAAGAAGCCGGCGGAGGCGGACTTCAAGAGCAAGCCGAAGCAGGACTGGGGCAACCGCAGCAAGGCGGCGATGGCGTCTTGGCCTCCTGGGTTGGTGACGGCATCGGCGACGGCTGCGACGGGGGCGGCACCGCTTGCGGCCTGGGGGGCGATCCCGAGGTTGACGGCGGCTTCGGCGGCGGCAACTCTGGCGGCACCGCAGGCGGCTTGGGTGGCGTTCCCAAGGAAGGCGGAGGCATCGGCGCAAGCGGCATCGGCGGCTGCGGCGGTGGCGGAACCCTCGGCGGTTTGGGAGGCGATACCGAGGTCGGCGGAGGTATCGGCGGGCGGCTCGGCGGACCAGGGACTGGCGGCAGTGGTGAAGAAGCGCCCTGGCAAGCGCAAGAGGGCCATCCCCCAGAAGCGGAAGGAGAAGCGGGAGAATAAGAAGAATAAGAAGACGGAGAAGGAGAAGCAGCAGAAAAGGTCCCATGCGACGGTCATGATCCTCTCGGAGGCGGGCAAGAGGAAGCTGGTCCGCCTGCTCCGGGAGGCTGGCAAGCGGCTTCGTGGGAGGCCGTCAACCTAGGCATCGGCCTGGGACCAGTGCGCGGTGGAGCTTGCGACCACATCCACTTGGACAAGGAAGACACCCAGATCGAGGGCTTCAGCGAGTGCGGGGCCGAGGAGACGCGCAACCTCGTCTACGACCTGCACGTGCAGCTGAAGCGGAAGGAGGAGGCTTGCGGCTGCCTGGCCTCGGAGGCCATGGAGCTGCGCAGGCGGGCCTGGGAATCCAACAAGGGCGTCACGGACGAGCTGCCCCACACCGACGACGGGAACGACAATCAGAAGATGGCAGATTCGGAGCTGCCCGAAGTGCCGCCCTTCCCCGACTTGAGTTTCAAGGGGAAGCCCGCCCAGGAGGGGCTGGAGGCGCTGGTCAGCGCCTGCCTGCAGCAGGTGGGCAAGGGCACCCACGAGGCCAAGACGCGCCCCCGGGCCATCAAGGACTACTTGGAGCTGGGCGTGGACGGCTAGGAGGACGGAGGGCCGCCTCTTGGAGGTGACGGAGGGACCGTTGCCGCCCCCGTGGAGGTGGTGGAGGTGCTCGGCATCCTGAACTGCGAGCCCGTCGTGGGCGAGTCTTGACAGGGCGTGCGATGGGCCCTGGGGGGGAAACCGCTTCCGCCGCCCCCCCCCGCCGCGCCTCGGGCTCCTTGGGCCCGTGGTCCTCGTGGGCCCCTCCTGGGCTGGTCCTCTGGAGCCGCGGCTGGGCCCCGTTGGCCTGGCGTTGCCGCGACGGGTGATGGGTGGGGAGCGGTTCGCCCCCCATCACGGCCCGCGCGGCGGGGGCGGGGAGTACCCGTCCGCGCCATCGGCACCCTCAGCGCCCTCCTCCGCCTCCTCCTCCGCCTCCTCCTCCTCCTCCTCCTCCTGCTCCTCTTCCTCCTCCTGCTCCTCTTCCTCCTCCTCCTCTTCCTCCTCCTCCTCCTCCTCCTCCTCCTGCCCCTCCTCGCCCTCCCCTCCTCGAGTCGCCTACGGCCCCGGGGGGAACAGTCCAGTCCTGGTTCCCAGACGTCCAGCGCTCCGATTGTTTCAGAGCGCGGGCCCCCGGAGGCTTCGGGCCAGATTTTCGGCCCGAGTCGTTTTGTTAACGGCCCCGGGGCCCGTTGAGGGCCCCGAGGGGCTGAAAACTGCCAAACACTGGCCGCTCCGATTTTTCCGATTTCTGGTTTTGTTTGCTTCCACTTTCTGCAGCGGTCGATGGGCCTGGTTGTTTTGCGCCGCCCCCATCCCCGTGCAGGACCCTGCCAGGGACCCCCGCGCCCGACTTGGTGATCCAAAGGGTACTGGCTTGGGGTGAGGGTGATTGATTGCGCCCCACAAATAAAACACACACACACACACACCCTGCCAGGTCCGATGTCTTCATTTTTTCAATGCGGTGTTCCCGGGGAACTGGACCCATTCCCCGGGACCGCCTGTTCGTCCCAGATCCTTGTGTGACGGTCTGGGGGCCCAGCGAGGGCCGTCAGACGCCGACGTGAACGACAACTGCCCGTCTTGTTTTTCAATACGTCGGATCTCTGGGTGCGGCAGGGGGTGTGTTGTGCTGGCCTGCTCGTGCTCTGGCTCCTGGTCACCCTGCTGCTGCCGCGTCTGGGTCGGTCGGTCGGTCGCTGCTTTGGTGGGACCGACGCGCTTGGAAGTCGCGCCAGTGGAACCCAAGAGGCTGCAGACGTTGGACCCGGAACATTTCCTATTAGGTACGGCCATCATCAGAGTTCATTGCCAACAATCAACCACCGATAGCAAGTCCCGCGGCCGCGCACGATTAACAATGGCAGGCCCCTGTGCGAGAGTGGTGGGGGGGAGTCGTCAAGGCCGCTCTCTCTTTCTTTCGGATTTGCCTCCCGACGCCTCACTCCGCCTAGGCAAAGTTGCGATTCTCCCCCCTAGGATATGCTGATAAGTGCTACCTTCCACAGATGATATCGCTCGGAAAATCAGCAAACTTTCTGCGCAAACTGCTCGAACTGCCGCCCTGCACATTTACAGGCTCTTATCGTTGGGTTTTTGGCAACTGGTCTCCGCATGCTGCTCCACACTATGTTGCAGTACACACAGAAGCCTCAAGCTGGAGCACGGCGGAAAAGACTGCGGCTGACTGGCAATCGTGGCGTCGCGATCTCGAAGAGCAATTGTTGTTGTCGAGTGCCCTCGTCCAGCAGATCAAGGGTCAGTGGTCACCGGTGTTTTGGCGCGACCTTCTCTCCGTCGTGCAAGTCTCTCAAGATCAAACCAGTCATCATGCGCACCTGGAGGCCTCCTAGGCCCCCTACAGAGCTGCCGCCTCCGAGGCTTCTTTTGGCGGCTGCGCGCGCAGAGGCACTGCAAAAGCGGGGTCGCCTCCAGGGTGTGTATGCTCGCTCCCGCACCCTCGAACTGCGCGCATATCGTTGCCATTCGACGCTGAAGAAGCGTCTCCAGGCATGGCTTGCAGGATCGATAGTCCCTCCCCGAGCCCCTCCCTGGTCAGAGGCGAAAGCCATGATACCAGAGAGGAACCCAATCCGAATCTTTTTAGGTCTATCGTGCTATGGGGCTATTGGGCGATGGGGCTATAAGACCACTGGGCTATAGGGCTATCCGGATATAGGGCTACAGGCATATATAGACCCATAGGGTTATAGGGTTATAGGGCTATAGGGTTATAGGGCTATCCAGCTATAAGGCTCAAGGGCTCTAGGGCTATAGGACTATAAGGCTGTAGGGCGATTGGGCTGTAGAGCTATAAGGCTATCAGGCCATAAGGCTATGGGGCTAGAGGGCTATAGGGCTATAGGGCTGTAAGGCTATAAGGCTCTAGGGCTATGGAGCTATAGGGCTCTAAGGCTATAGGGCTATAGGTCCCTCCCCTGGCCCCTCGCTGGTCACAGGCGAAAGCCATCATGGTCAGACAAATCGCCCAGTTGTTTCTTGGCCTGTCCTGGAAACCCCGGCAGGCGGGTGGACCACCTCCTACAGTATGCGCACCTTTTCGGCCGGCGAGGCTGCGTCTTTCAGAGCGAAGGGATTTGGGACTCGATCTCTCTCTCTCTCTCTCTACCTCACTTGTCCTCGCCTCCTGCACCTCCTGACCCTCCCTGGTGCTTTTCTTTCCTCGTCGCTGGCTGCCCGCCTGGATCTGGGACAGGAGAGCGAGTCTGCAGGGGAAACCATTCGGGAACCTTGCCTGAGGCTCGTGGTCCCAGCCTTCAAAATGTACCACACGTTGCGTACCCGCCCCAGTGGTGCGCCTGGCTCCGTTTGCGCGGACCATCTCAATATCAAAGTTGTTGCAACGCGCGTCAGAAGCCCAGTCCCCGCAATCGAGCATTTTGAAGTATCTTGCCCCATCGATGTCCATGCCGTCTCTCGATTCGGAGGCGGCGCACCTTGTCTTTTTACTTGCCCGTGTCTGGTTTCTGTTTTCACAAGTCCCCGGTGGTGTTGCGAGTGGGCACCGTTGCAACTCGCCCAAATTGGGCGTCAGATGGAATGACCGCCGCTGCGCACAGTTCTCTTCCAGGGCCACGCGGCGGAGGGTGGACGAAGGTCTCCTGTGAATCAAGGCGGGCCAGGAGAGGAAGTAACAAACGAATGTTCAAAATACGCTTGTCTATCCGCTAAATATAAGTTTCCGGAGACGAATATTTAAATCAGTTTCGCATTTGTATAGATATGTACTCGTATGTATTTGATAAAACCTTGTTGCATTTTAATGCGTATCTTAACGTTCGTCTTCGATTAGACGTAGACGCTGCCGTGGGATTTGGGGACCTTGTCGCCGCGGTAGGGCGCACGGCAACGATGGCACTGGACTCAATCGGAGAGGGGGCAAAGACGTGATCGGTGAGTGAACTGCGCGGAGATACGGTGGGGGCGTTGGTTAAGGAATGTGCCCAGGAGGCTTCAGACCCTGGAGGATTCCTTATCTGATGCGGGCGGCGGTGGTATCCATGGCCAGGCTTCGATTGGAGTCCCACCCGCCACCAGACCCTGGGTTCCTTATCCAATGCTTCCTTGTCCAATGCCCTCACCGTCCCGTAGCCATTTTGGCTCAAGCGAGCCGCGCTACGGGAGGCCCTCGCGTCTTTGCGTGTCCGCAGCGGGCGCTCGGGCACGCGCCAGAGGCCGCGATGGAAGCGAAACGCTGGGCAGCGGCCAGCGCTCGTACACTGGCCCGACGCCTTCGCCGTGAGCGACAGGCGGAGCGGGGCTGGTCGAGGGCGGCCGCTTTGAACCGGCGTGTGAAGGCGCTGCGCAGCTCGCTGGATGCGCATTGGCGACTCGCTGATGCGGTTGGCCGCTTCCTCCCCACCCTTGGGGAGGAGTTGGCGGCAGGGCGCCTGCTGGGCTGCGACGGCGAGCTCCTCGACGAGGCGAGCGAGGCGCTGATCTACGGCAACGCGGCGCGGCACTCCCCGCCGCCAGTGGCCGTGGCAGGCGTCCCTCGCCTGCCCGATGGGCTGGATGCAAGGGCGCTGGAGCGCTTGCTGGCCGGCCATTCTGCGCAGCTCAGGCGCGAGGCTCGGCCTTTCGTGCCCGACGGCTGGGAGAAGGCCGACGTGCTCCTGCAGGCGCTTGGAGCCAGAGGCCTGCACCTCGACACGGAGGTGGTGCAGAGCGAGGGCATCTCCATGATCGTCGAATCGTCGACGGTCCACAAGGACGAGGTGCCGCAGAACGTCATGTGCGACACGACCGCCGCCGACACGCTGGCTGGCAGCTCCTTCGGCCTGGCAGCCCCTTGCGGCGTTGGCGGCGGCGATGAGCAGGCGCTGCAGGACGTGCTGCAGCGGGACACCTTGGGCGGGATCGACATCGTGCACGTGCCGACGACCCCGCCAGGTGATGTGGCCGAGGACTTTCACAGCGGAGTTGCTGCTGGGGAGTCGGAGGCGGTGCAGGGTGCCACCCCAACGGGCCTAGTACCTGGGGGCTTGGGAACGTTTCCCATCGGAGCTGCTGTGTGGCCCGCCGCCGCGGCCGCGGGCGCATCGCAGGCGGGTGCCACCCCAGCGGGCCTTATACCTGGGGGCTTGGGAACGTTTCCCACCGTCTCTTCTGCTTGTTCGCGCAGCTTCAGCGAGAAGATGTGGAGAGCAAGGTCGGTGATTTCTCGCACGTGGCTGGAGCCGCTCCCGCGGGAGGCTCAGGGCCAGGCGTGCGTCGATGCGGCTGAGGACGCTCACAGCGGAGCGGAGGCCGCAGTGTCGGAGGCGGAGCAGTTCTTCTACGACTGGGTAGGGTACGTAGACTCTGAGTACGGCATCGGCGAGACGGTGAAGCTCGTCCAGGACTTCGAGGACGAGGGCTTCGACATCTGGTTGATGTTCGACTTCCTCGCTTCCCCTGGGTTTCGGGCGCGCTTCGCGGAGGTCCGCGGTGTCATCTACAGCATCGACGACTCGGACGCCGAGAGCGCAGGCTACGACGACGCCTACGCGGACCCCTCGGCGGAGGACCTGCGGGCGAGCCACATGGCGCAGTGCCGGGCCGCGGCCGAGGAAGCCTCGCGCCAGTGGCGGTCGGCATCGACGTGCTCATCGCCCCCCTTCAAGGCGAAGCTGGGGCGCTGAGCGGAGCGGCGGGGGTGGGATCGGCCTGAACCCGCGGCCCGCCAGCGACCAGAATGCATGCACGAAACCTCCGCGCGTGCGCGGAGCCCACAGAGATAAAAAAAATGCCCTCACCGTCCGTAGCCATTTTGGCTCAAGTCGTGTTTCCGCCCGTCTTCGGCCGCGCGGGACCTCTTGAAATGGCTGCGGGAGGGGGCTCAGCAGCGCCACTGCGGGGCGCAGCTGGAGCCCGTGCGGCGGCGGATCGTTTGGTCGCGA